ATTTTGGGGCTTAACATCCTATTACAAAATTTCCGTGACCAAAGAAAAGATTTATTTGCATGTTTCGTGGACTTCGAAAAGGCATTCGATAAAGTACAGCATGCAAAATTAATACAAATACTGAAAAATATCGGAATAGATGACAAGGATATTCGTGTCATTAAAAATTTGTACTGGAATCAAACTGCTCTCGTAAAAACTGGAGATGAAATCTCCACAACCAGAAATCAGACAAGGTTGCATTTTGTCGGCAACATTGTTCAATGTTTACTCCGACCAGTTATTTAAAAGGCACTTAAAAGACAACATTATGGAATAAAAATCAACGGGAACCACTTAATGTGATTAGATATGCAGACGATACAGTAATTCTATCAGATAATATTGAAGGTCTTCAAATTCTGCTTGATCGTATTCACGAAGTAGGAGAGAAAATGAACATCGAAATAAACTCAAATAAAACCAAATTTTTAGTGTTTAGAGTCCAAGTTGAGAAAGTTCACAAAATGACATAGTTGGGAACTATGATAGCGGACCTACTAGATCCTTACATAGAAATAAAATGTAGAATAGCAATGACTAAAACTTCTTCTTCTTCTTCAGCCTGTGTTCGTCCACTGCTGGACATAGGCCTCTTCCATTTGCTTCCATCGATTTCTACTTTTGGCAATTCTCATCCACTGCTTGCCCGCGACTTGTTTGATATCGTCTGTCCACCTCTTCTGCGGTCTGCCTACTCCTCGCCTGTTCTCTCTTGGTCTCCAGTTTGTTAATCTTTGTGTCCATTTTTCGGGATTATCTCGGGCAACGTGTCCGACCCATTGCCACTTGAGCTTGCAATACGTTCTGAGACATCAGTAATTTTTGTTCTTTTACGAATGACGTTATTTCGAATCCTGTCTCTCAAACTAATCCCTAGCATGGCCCTCTCCATTGCTCTTTGGGTTGTACTGAGCTGCTCTAAGGTTTTCTTTGTGAAGGCCATGGTCTCCAGTCCATATGTAGTTACAGGCAAGATACATTTGTCATAAACTCTACGTTTTAGACACATTGGTATATCTTTATTCTTCAAAATAAAGCTTAATTTGCCGAAAGCTCCCCAAGACAGTTGTATGCGTCTTTTTATTTCGGCTATTTGATTTTCTTTGCCGATTTTAATGGTATGTCCAAGATATATATAGTGGTCTACATTTTCAAGACTGACGTTGTCAATAACAAGATTAGTTTGTAAATTACTCATTATTTTTGTTTTCTGAAGGTTCATTTTGAGACCTATTTTATTTGACTGCTGGTTTAATTCCTTCAACATTTGCTCCAGTTCCTTGATATCTGTACTAAATAATACTATGTCATCCGCAAACCTCAAATGGCTCAAACGTACACCATCAATGTTTAGACCTTTTTCCTCCCAGTCAAGCTGTTTGAATACATTTTCCAATGCTAAGGTAAAAAGCTTTGGTGAAATAGTATCACCTTGTCTAATACCTTTATCAAGGCGCATTTTTTCAGTTTTTTCGTCTTCATTGATTTTGATGTGGAATGTGGCCTGTTCATAAATGTTTTTAATGAGTGTAGTGTACCGTGAGTCTATTCGAGCATCCTTCAGGGCTGACAAAAAGGACCAAGTCTCAATACTATCGAAAGCCTTGTGAAAGTCGATAAATGCCATATGTAAAGGTACATTATATTCTGTGGTTTTTTCTACTAGTGTTCTGATGGTTTGTAAGTGATCATTAGCGCCAAACCCTTTTCTAAATCCCGCCTGTTCAACCGGTTGATATAAATCAAGTTTTTGTGTTATGCGGTTGGTTATTATTCTTGTTAACAATTTGTATAAGTGTGACAACAAACTTATAGGTCTGTAGTTTTCAATATTAGTAGTGTCTCCTTTCTTGTGTAAAAGTATTATTTCGGCGTTTTCCCATAGGCTGGGTATTCTTTTTTCTGTTAGACACTTATTCAGTAAGACTTCCACAACTTCTACAACGATGTTGCCGCCCATTTTTAACATTTCAGACGTTATACGATCCTCGCGGGAGCTTTTTTGTTTTTCATTTGCTGTAAGGCATGTCTAATTTCCGAAGAGGTTATTTTAGGGAGGGTTTCCGAGCCGACGTTTAGAATTGTTCTGTGGTCTGTTTCGGGGTTCTGTATAGTAGATGTATAAAGATTCTTATAGAACGTTTGTATTTCCTTGATTATTTGAGTTTTTTCGGTCACCGTATTCCCCTGTTGATTTTTGATTTTAGTTATATTTGATTTTCCTTTAGTTAAATTTGATTTCAATACTCTCATGTTTCTATTGTTTTCGATGGTTTGCAATATTTGTTTTGTTTTATAAGCCCGCAAGTCTGACCTTATGCTCTTTTTAACTTTATTGTTGATAACTTTATACTCTGGTAATTCTTTCGATGTTCTTCTTCTTTCTTCCATTAAATTAAGTGTTGTTTGTTTCAGTTTCGTTTTTCTGGGATTTTTATTTTTATCACAGATCTTTCTTGCAGTTGATGTTATGTCGTTCGTTAATTTTTGTGTTATTTCATTTATATCTTTCGTGTTGAATACTGGTAGAGGTCCTAGTTTCTTTTTAGTTCACTTTGATATTCCTCTTGATTCATTTCGAGTGCTTCTATGTTTGGCAATTTATCCTGTGTTAATAATTTTCTTCTATCTAATTTCGTATTTATTTCTATTCGCGTCCTAACTAATCGATGATCACTACCAGTGTTGAAAGAATTTAGTACAGTAAGATCTTTAGCAATGTTTTGAAGTTAGAGAGTATAAAGTCAATTTCATTTTTTACTTTGCCATCTGGCTTAACCACGTCCATTTTCTCTGCATCTTTTTCTTGTAGAATGTATTTAAGCAGAATAGTTTTTCTTTGCTGAGGAAATTTACGAGCATATCTCCCCTGTGATTTCTACTTCCCAGTCCAAAATTTCCAATATATTCGTTGTCGTTGTTATTTTCGTTCTTTCCTATTTTAGCGTTGAAATCTCCCGTAATTATTACGTAATATGTTTTCTCTAGGTTTCTGGCTCTTGTAATGTCTTCATAAAGTTGTTCTACCTCTTCATCATCTGCAGAAGAAGTTGGTGCATAACAGTGGATTATTTGAATGCTGTATCTACGATTTAGTTTTATTACCATATAGATAACTCTATTAGAAATTGCTTGGAATTTGGTTACCATGTTTTCAATTCTCTTATGTACTAAAAAGCCTACGCCTCCTATACCTTGGTTATTTCCTGAATTGTATTGGTACAAAGTGTGCCCTGATTTTAGTAGAGTCGATTCTTCGCCTTTAAGCCTTGTCTCGCATAGGCCTAGTATGTCCCATTTGATGGTCTTAAGTTCTTCTTGCAACTCTTGTAGGTTATCTTCTGTCCTCATCGTTCTGATATTATATGTTCCGATGTGCATTCTGTGTGTACTAAGCGAATTCTTGCCTCCCCCATATTCCACGAGGCAGACCCTTTTCTGGGTGTGGGATTTGGCATAACATACTCCACCACCTGGGGACCGTTCCGTTTCGTTTTAGTATTCGCCATTTCTGTATTTGGAAGGATGAGTAGCCTTGAAACACCACGCTGGCTAGACGGGTTGGTGAGTTTTATATCAGCCGCCCATTCTGGGTCAGACGCTGTTTCGCAGCCGTCCATTCTGGATCAGACGCTACTGTTTTGATTCTATATCAACCCTAAAATCGAGGGTTGCCATTTCCGCCATCCACACCGTACCGAAGCTCCGCTTCTCCGCCGTGTCTGCCGTTGTGGACTTCATCCGTAACCCTGGACAAGGGACCCTAACCAGGTACTGGTTTCCCGGGTCAGGAAACCCCCGATCAATGACTAAAACTAATTTTATGAAAATGAACTTATTTCGTTGCAATAACTATCTCAGTTTAGAACTAAGACAAAGAATGGTTAAGTGCTATGTTTGGTCCGTACTTTTGTATAGTGCAGAAGTTTGGACGCTAAAATCATAAATGCTGAAGATACCTTTGGGCAGCAAGGAAAACTAATGGAGAAGTACTAAGGAGCGTCAACAAAGATAGAGAACTGCTAAAGATTGTTAAACATCGAAAAATGTCTTATCTGGGACATATAGAAAGGGGAAGTCGATATAAAATATTACAACAGATCCTGTAACATTTTTTTTATTATTAAAATATTAATTATTTTTAATTTCTTTTACCCCCGTACGATACGCCGATGATTAGGAATTCCCGTGTTTACGATAAGAAAATAATATTGGATCTACTAAATTATAATGGACTTCCCTAATTACTAAAGGTAGTTAAACCTTTCCGTCTAAATACTCAGTATGAAAAGATCTAATGCTTTTGAGTATGCAGGTTCTTTTACATAAATTGATAATTTTCGCCGAAGGCCCGTATCTTTTGACAATAACTTAATCCCAAGTATTGTCTGCTTCTCATGTCCAATTGTTGGTACCGGTAACTCAAAACTTTCGGAATTTTTACTTCCTCAGAATTACCTACAACTGTCCGATAATTTTCAGTGGGGGAGATACCTTCGTCTTCTTTTTTCTTGGATAGTTGGAGAAATTTTTAGTGGAACCAACTTACTTCTCGGTGGGCTCTCGTTGAGCACAGGTCGATTATCTCGTGAGACTTCTCGGTGGCCTCTCGTTGGCCTATCGAGAAGCCTTCGCAATGGTGATCGCCAACGTCGGATAATTCTGATATGGCACGCGAAGAAGAAGAATATATCACCTCATTTAGAACTTTAGGACTAACTTACGGAAGTGTAAAATGAATGTACAATGAACATTCCATTTATACACTTATCTTTTCCTGTAAAAACTACGTAAGTTAGAAAATTGTTTCGATTTAAAAAGTTCTTTTACAAATTAAGCTTACTCTTTATAAAATGGCTGCAAAGAATATACCAACGGGGTGAGGGGAGAGTTCTTCCGAATATCAAGTACTATTGTTCTCGAGTTAATACTGTACATGAGAATATGATACTTTAAATTTATAAAACGGTAGGAGTATCGTTACCTAAAACTTTAATCTTAAACAATTTCCACAAAACAATACGCATTCTAAAAAATATTAAAATTATATATCTACAAACTATGTTGTAACTTTAAATTTATTTTTGCATGTGATGTTTAATTCTTTAAGACTAAAGTTGTCGGTAGATGATACTGAAAAGAAGCATGTGCTGTGTGGTCAAAACAAAAGAAGCATTTGAATCATTCTACTGTTTGTAGGGGTGCCATAAATCTATCAGTTTGTGTCATTTAACCTAAATACAACACCTTTAAACGAAACCGTTGGTTTCGAGCAAACACTCCACCCATTTTTGTACCTGGAGACATCTTTCGGCTGGTATCGAGCTATGGGCTCGTGTATCTTCGGATCATACTTCTGATTTTTCAAAAAATCCGTAGACCGTTGTTTTTGCTGAATTGGTTTTAGAATCGAAGAAGACTTGGTGGGTTTAGGAGTGGGTGAGGTAGATTTAGGTCTCTGTTTATTTTTACGAAGGAGAGAAGTGTCTTTGGACGCTACAGAGTGTTCTGGAGAAGACAACGAGCGAGTGTTATCTTCAAGTCTTGGATAACGGTGTGCTGTCCAGTCAGCAGTTAAGTACGGAGCAATATCTCTAAGTTCACGAATGCTGGGAGAAGAAGTGTACATGTGTCCTACCAACGAAATATCTTCTTGACTGTCAAATTTTTCTCGTAACTTCTCGACTTCACCAACAGGACATCCGAAAATTTCTGCCAACTCTTCTATACTTTTGCGATGTCCTTTAGTACCATTCTTGATATTCTTACGTGTATAGAGACTAGCAATTTTACTTATTATATTGATGTGAGGCATAAATCGATCTTCGGCTCTTAAAAATACGGGCGAAACAACTCCTCCCCTTCTAGTCCGACTTCTACCTCTTCCTGAGTAAGCAGGGTATTCATATTTTCTTCTTAGATTATCCACGTGTCCTAAACTAAAATGTGGGTAAACAGTGTTAAGATCTGATTCACTCCTGGATCTCTTTAGTGTAGTGTCTCCATAAATATCTTCTAAGAATTCAAATTTGTTGCGAAGTCTCGACACTTCTCCAGTTTTAACTGGACGTTTTTCACTAAAATAAGGAGAAATTGATCTACTTCTGTAAAGACTGTCATTGCTAGTATCGACTGACATTTCAGACCTTATAGGACTTATGTCAATGGCACGCAATTCTGGCCTTTTTGGAATAAACTTCTGCTTTCTGGTTGCTGATAACGGAATTGTAGCAAATTTCATTAAATCTGTTTCTCCAAAATATTCTTTAAAGCTTTGAACCGATTTCGATTGAACAAGAGATTTCTCATGAGATCTTTCTGAATCTTTCGCAGAATGAACGTTACCTTCACTAACCTCAATACCTGTTTCAGCTGGTTTATGTATAGTTGGAACGTAAGGTTCATGTTCTTTTACCTGTTCAAAATACTCAACTTTCTTTTTAACATCTTCCTTCTTTCCAGTACATATAACAGTCCTTGTACTTTCATCAGTACTACCACTTTCAGTTTCGCTTAAAGATGCCACCTTTCCGTTGGTGAGTGCATTTGTCTTAACCAAAGGTTTTTTTGGTTCTTCTTTTCGCAAATCTGCTTTAACATTCGCTTCAGCTGATGCAACTGCCCCCAATACTTCTTTACCAACAACTAATCGTAAGCCTAAATCTTTACGTTGAGTACTAATTTTTTCTAATAACTCTTTACTTAGAGTATATGATAACATTTTCTTATCATTTTCAGACATATTTGAGCTTTTAGTAGTTTTAGATGGCTTATACATATGATCTGAAGAATCTGAATTTCTTCGTACTGTTAAAGTCGGAACATATCCTTTACTCTTTTCCTTAGGAACATGAATAGTATAATCTTCTTTGTGTTTTGGGTAATTGTTATATATTTCTGCAAGTTGTTCCTTTAGTATATTTACTTGTTCCATTGACAAGCTACTCCAAAGTTTGCTACCAATGCCATGGTTCAATATCTTTTCGGAGTCGATAAGTCTTTGTCTGGCTGTTTTAACTCTTCCTTCCGAATGTGCTCTACGCTCTGTTATATTACTCGCTATATTAGCTACAGAGAATCCTCGCCACAAAGGTTTGTACGTGTCTTTAAGGAAAGCTAGTTCTCGTCTTTTAGCGTTTTCACGATCAGATTCCTCATATTTAATTTTTTCAAATTCTCCTTTTATATCATCTACTGACTTTTCCTTTATTCTTAGCCCTATATCATATTCTTTTCGCCATTTATATCGCTGAACGTCTTTGGGAAGGTACAAGAAACCTTTTTCTTTTTCTTCCTTTTTTATTTGATTGTAAAGTGCTCCCAGTTCTTGTTCAGCTCGTTCACGGGTTCTAACCTCCTTCCACCTATCAAAATCAATAATTTCAGTTTCGCTTTTTTTCCTAGGTTTGACGCTAAAAACTTTTTCAAGTTGACCTACCTTTTCAATTTCTGTATAAAACTGATTTAAGTCTTTAAATTTGTCATAATACCTACTGCCATGAACTTGATCTGTAAAGTATTTATAATAATCCTCACTTCTTAACGAGTCCAATGATGTTGTACTATGATTTAAACTTGGACACATGTATAAAGGCACTTCTGGTTGTTTCTTCTCAACTTGAAGGCTCTTATATTGCATTATTTTTCGACAAGACGGTGATCGACATAATTTAGGAGACGGTGGTGGAGATAGAAATTTTTTATGTTCTACGACAGGCGAAATGGGTCTACTCGTTTGTGAGAATATTAATTTTGCTGGCAAACTTGAACTTCTTTTGGGTGGTTTGCTTTCAAATTTAGTGCTATCGTCAAAAGTGACTGACTTGGGACTTGCAGATCTTGAACGAAGTCGAGCTATATCCAGGCTAATAAATTTGGAATCGGAAACAGGTCTTGTATGTTTTAAATACACTTTCATGGCACTTACTGTAGGCTCAGGAACAGATGACCGTCTGCGAGTTAACTGGTTTGTTTTTTCAACAATCCAAGAATTTCTGCTGGTGTTTGACCAGGTGGGAGATATGTCTCGCAGAAACAAATGTTGGAAGAAGTGATTACTTTCAATAGCGTTCTTTTGCCTACGTATATCGGATAGTATCGAAGTAGTATCAAAGTCTTCTTTGGTTTTAGCATCTGATCTCTTAGATGTTCTAGATCCGTCGATCTTTTCTAAAGATTTGCTAGTAGGCCTACTTGATTTAATGTCTTTTTTAATTTCGTCATTGATTTGTTCCTTTTTTGACTTTTGAATCTCTCTATAGTCTTTAGATGAAACATTTTTAGGTTTTATTACACACTTTTTCTTTGGAAGTTTTGGCGATGATAATGATTCTAATGATCTCACTTTGGTTGACGATGAGCTTGAAGGACAAGGTGATGCTCTTTTCGGTTTAGGAGAAGACGGAACATTTGGTTTTAAAATATTTCTTCCTTTATCTGAAATTCCCACCTTTACCGGCAAAAACTCTTTATTCTTGCCACTGTTTTTAGATGACGCTAATACAGCATTAGATTTCTTATATACTGTACCTTGTGGTAGAGTCATCATGGATGCTTTTTTAACCTCTGTTGGCGACATTAGATCGGGAGATTTTACCAGCTTGGTTTTTATGTTTAAATCAAACTTTTTCTTCTCAGAACCAAATGTTTTTGGAGAGCTTCTCATAAGATTGAGACTTTCCATAGAAGAAGTGACCGGACTTCTACCAATAGTTGTTTTACTCGTACTTCTGACAGAATCGGTCGATTTGGATCTTCCAACATAATTATGAACATTAGTTTTACTTTGTATCTTACGAGCCGATGTTTTAACGTCTTTAGAAGTAGTTAGGGTAGACGTTATTTTATTCTTCAGATCTGCTGAAGCAGTAACCTTCTTAACCACTCTAATTTTGGGACTAGGACTTCTCTTGCTTGGCGTTGGTGATAATTTGCAAGTGATTTTATCCTTTAAGTAATTAACTTTGGATTTATCAATATTTGACGTTGTCGTAAAACACGTCTCGTGTCTTTTACACAGCGGTGATTTTTCTGTTTTGACTTTCATTGTCGAAACCAATCTTAAAGTTGGATTATTTCTCGAAGATTTCCTTCGAGGTGGTGATGGAGGGGGAATGGGAGGAGGAGTAGGAATGGCTGAAGAAGGAGCAATTCGCTTGTAAGCCGAAAAAGTGTTCGGATCTTGGTGCTGAACTGTCACCGGGTAGCAGAGTACTTCCTTTTGAGGCTTAATATTTTTATGAACTCTTATTCTTGTTAGCGTTGGGGAAATTGGGAAAAATTCCACAAATTCCGTTTCTGTGGAGAATATTCTTATTAGACTTTAAGTTTAAATATTAATATTGTGCTCGGTGTTCTGAAAAACAAAGTGATGACTATTGTGTTCATTTAAAGATAATAGCTAGTCTTACAAACAGAAGAAATCAAAAGCCTTTAGGATTATTATTTAATTAATAAGTTACTAATAATACATAAGTAAAAACAGAATAAAACAAACCTTATTAGAATAAAGTCCTTCACCAGGGGTATACAAATAGTTACAGAGAAATATTTATATTTCCAACTTAAAGTAGGCAACACGTATAACACATCATTTGGTTCTAATAAATCTTTTGTATTTGTTCTGTGGTTCTAGTTCTAATACTAATTTTAAATTATATTAAGACTATAGGGGTAGATTAACTGTTTCTTAAACTAGTTCTTCTTCATAATATGTTTTCAATATTCAAAATTGAACCACAATAAAGCTAGTATCATTTTATTCAGGGATAATATCCATTAAGAAATTTAGCATTTATGACTTTATCTGCTCTAAATAACCTCGTACTTTAATAGGTATCTAAATAAGGTCCTGCAGTACTATGTATTTTTGTTTTCTAATTAAATACTGTGTTGAAAAATAAATATCTCCAGCACAGTATTTAAATTGTTGTCAATCAAACAAATTTTAACTTTTAGGTCTTTGGAAGTTGATGCAGTATACAATATAAGCTTAAAGAAGATTTTACAGTTTTTATATAAATGAGATTAACTGGAAAAATAAGTCTTCCTTCACTAATATTTACATGAAGCGCTAGAAGAAGCACTTGACACAAAAAATAAATTAAATGATGTAATAGGAGTTTATGGTGGACGGAAAAACTGGTAAAAAGAAAACATCTTACAAACAGTAGCTCCATTAAGGATAGGGAGGACAGAAAAGCTAACAACAGATGGAAATATGAGGTTAAAAAATAAATTACCAATATGTAGGTACTAGGAACAACGATGTAAATAATTTAATGAATTATTTAGCACGCATGATGTGTTGGAAACCTTTTTGGCGTAGAAACTTGGAAAACTTACTATAAAGATTAAACTGATACTGATATTCTAATTCTAATACAAATAAAAATATCTTAGTCAGATAAATAGTAATAATCTTAAATATAAACGAAAATATTCTCTGCACTATCTGTATATTTGACCTTATTAAAAGAAAAAATCATGCATTACCTTCACCAACAGATTGATTAGATTTAGGTAAGTAGAAAATCTGTTTTTCAACTGGAGATTCACCAAGATGACTTACCTTTCGGTCTTTCGGGTGCTGGTTTTCGAAGACCATGCAATGGGATATCACCACCCTTTTGAATAAACTTGTAGGCTTCCCGTTGCTCCTTTGGACTGATCTGTTGAGCTATCGCTTCCTCTTTTCGCCTAAATACCAAAGTCGAGTCGCTTTCATATCCAGACTCTTTTAAGGCCCTGCGGACAAAATAAAATAAAAAAATATTAAAATTATCTTGTAGGCGCGTCAATGCACTAAAAAGCACTAAACCAAAAAATGTTCCACAGTAAGGTAAATCGCTATGCAACTTTTTGCATTTGATTTAGGAGAGTTTCAGAAAATTTGTAAACAAAAATGATGTCTGGGAGATGAAAATTGCATTTTGTGTACAAGGAAAAGTGTATAGAAGATAAAAAAATTTAAACTCAAAAAATATCGATGGTTACCAGCTTAATTTTCCTACTTGAGAGTTTTCCAGTCGCTGAACACGAATATCACAGTACCCATATCCTCCAAGCTACCTGGTGCCTAGATTGGATCTTGTGTGCTTAAGTTTTGTACTAATTTGAATCAAACTCAGACGAAAGTCATTAGTCGGGGGGTTTTTGGTATGTGTTGCCCAGGGTGGACGTTGTCTCCTGAATTTTTATATTAATTCCACTTAAAATCAGTCAAAGTCATTACTTGAGTGGTTTTCAAGGTCGTTTAACACGAATATCATGGCAGCGATGGTCCCAGAGGCACCTACTGCCTATAGTATATCTCGTCGCTTGGTGTTCCATGTTATTTTTATTCAAAATCAATCAAGAGTAATTACTCTGTCAATACCTCATACAAACTGTAATGTGTATAATCTACGTTTAGGAAAACGTAGATTATACACATGGAGGCAAACGGAGGAAAACGCACGGTTTCTGTTTTTGGAAATACAATATCCGTATGCACAATACGCAACTTCCAACTCCCAGACACCAATTTTGTTCACAAACTTTCCTGAAACTCTCTCGAATTTCATTAAAAAAGTTACATTGAGATTCATCTTATTTAACAAATTTAAATTTAACAAAACTTTAACAAATATATCTTATCCCAATATGAAAAATACATAGATGTTGCAAACTTCAACACGCCTTTGCTGAAACAGTTCAAACATAATAGTTTTCCATATACTTAGTTTTGATAGTAATTAGGGGTATTATCTTCATGAAGTACCATTTGATGAAGAACCTGTTTATCAAGTTTTTCTCCACTAGCCTAGAGATTATCTTAGGTTGTGAGAGTCTTCTTAGCCACTTGTGACCTTAAGTTTAAAAAACTTCACGTTGACAAGATGTATTGGTTATACAGATTATTTTTTAGTAAGCTAAACTAGTCTTCTTCTTCGACTTCCATCGTCGATCGGATGTTGGAAATCATAATGTGTATGGGGACGTTATTGGCCGCCCCTCTAAATAGTTCTGCACTACTGCATTCAAACTATTTTCTCAGGTTATTAAGCCAGGATATTCTTCATCTTGCTACGTTTCACTTTCCCCAAATTTCTCCTTACATAAGTTGTAGTATTGAGTATTTTTACTCTCTCATCACCTGACTTACGTAATCAATTTTTAGTCTTTTACTACACTCATTCTAGAATTTTTTCCCTGCAAAAGTTTGTACAGGTCTTTTGCTTGGTGTATACTAAATATACCAGGCTATCTTCTTGGTTCCCATATTTTTTTGTATCCTTATAATTACTTTTCCATTTGACACTCTTTGAAACCATGATATTCATAGGATTCTTCTGTAACATCAAAGTTCAAACTTAAAAATAGTCTTCATTTAAGATTTTTCTTCTTGTAATGACGCTTATTGGATCCGAATGTTCGCAAAAAATACACTTTCTTCCTGGATATCACTTTGAATAGCCCTTTATCTGAATAATTAGTTCGAATAGGGTAAGATGCAATGCTTTAATATTAAGATGCCGATATTAGTAATGATGAAGGTAACGTTAATGCCGATCTCAATATTTTAGAAACGTAAAGTACTCTGTATAAACATATGCCGTAAAAATGACATTGTTGTAAAATCCACAATCAGAAAAGCCTGACAGAATATTATATGGCGACCAACGGAACGGAATGACGAAAAACTATTTGATTAAAAAAAATACACAATGAACAAAAAAACGATGAAAAAAGAAAAATAAAGAATGAATAATAGGTATACAAAAAAATATCTCGTATCACAAATAGCATACTCACTGATTTATGAAACTCCTTGGATGAGGCTGAGCTTGAACTCTCCTTTGCTGCTCCAAATGCTACAACAGTATAGCTGTTAATATATTATAATACATCGAATTATATATTAGTTTAAATGGTGTTTAGGTTCATGCAAGTCGGTGTTGAGATCTCATACATTTATTCATTATCCATTCATGCTACGAAACATGCGTAATTTAGTATTCGTTTCAATTTTGGGTATAAAATTTTAGTCTTTTTGTGAATTACAGAAAGTAACTAATTGTTTAATTTATCAAATATCCTACATATTAAAACACAAAGCTAATAAATTTGAAGAAGATAATTATCAAGATTCCCAATATATTTAGACATACTGGGCTTGAAGTTATTTTAAAAACGCTTGTTGGTTTTTTCAGCATAAAGAATTAAACCTTGGATATTTCGTCTAGGAGCGTACCTAGATACATGGGCCACTTACGTTCGATTCGAATTTTTTATCGCCTCACGGTATATGGTTTGCAAACATTTCCGAATGCGATATAGTATCGAATCGTCTGAATATTTTAAATTTAAACATTTAACCCTCTCCCGCATACGAAACCTTTTATGGTTACAAAATTTTAAAGTGCTGTAGTATGCATAATAACCCCACCCATCGAAAATACTGACTACATCCTAGCTAGTACTCATTAAACTACGAATCTGTATGTTTGGTTGCCTACCAGTCAAGAGAAAGATTTTTATAACCATATTCCTTTGTATATATTACTTTATGTATAACTCCAATTTGAAGCAATATTTTTTATCAAAATAGTGAATTTATTTGTTCGAAACATTTTTTTGATCAAAGTAAGTATTATTTTTTATTGTATAAATAAATATTTTTCTACATGAAATTTTACATGATTATATAGCTTTATGATGTCATTTATTATCAAACCATATATGGTTTCGTATGAATTCAGTCTAAATTGGTATAAATCCGTAAAATCCATAAATGGTTTCGAATGCATTTAATATTATTTAAGTTATACCGTTTTTCGAAAAATTATCATTTGGTTTTTGTTTTCAGAATGGATCCTGGGAAGTTTTATAGCTCATCTAAACACGTTAACTGTAAGCCTGGTGATGGAGAACTAAGTGAAGACGATTTAGGTCTAGATTAAGATAATGAGTATATTTCTTTTATTGGAGAACTAGGTGAAGACGAATTAGGTTCAGATTCCGATAATGACTATATTCCTGAATATTATCAGTCCCAGTTTGATGAGAGTGATAGCAATGAACAAAGGAATTTGGATAAAAACATACCTATTAGCTCTGGTATTAATAGAAGTGTCAACAAAAAGAACGAAATTTGAAACATTTTTATGGGAATCAGGCCATTTGAAACATTTTAATAAAAGTGATTAATTCCACTGATTCCAGTGATTATAATTAAGTTAGAAATTCCTGCAGATTTTTTCTTCTAATTGTTTCCAAAAGAATTAATATCCATGATTGTTGAACAAACAAACATAAAAGGTCTGCAGAATAACATAAACAATATTACCGAAAACGAAATGGAGCAATTCATAGGAACTATAATATTTATGTCATTGGTGAAATTAACATCATCGAGACTTTATTGAAATGCAACTGTAGGTCTACCACGAGTATTTGAATCTATGACCTGCAGTAGATGGGAAACTATAAAAAAACACCTTCATGTTAGTGATAATAGTAACTTCGTTCCTGTTGGTAATCAACCCATGATAAACTGTTCAAAATTCGGCCTCTGTTAGACAAGATTAAACAATGCCTTTTACTGGTTCCCAAGGAGGAACATCTAGCTGTTGACGAACAAATTATAACTACGAAATGCCGGCATCACCTCAAACAATATAATCTGGTAAAACCTCATAAGTGAGGATATAAAAATCAAGTACTTAGTGATGTACCAGGTTTAAGTTATGACTTTGATATTTTTGCTGATGAACAATACTTTTCCAAATGGAGCGCCTGATTTAGGGGTCAGTGGAAATATTGACATTAGACTGACAGAGACAATGCCGAAGAGCGTTAAACATAAAATATTTTTCGGTAACTGGTTTAATAGTCCAAAATTACAGATTTATCTTACAAAAAATGGATTGTTGCCGTTAGGTAAGGTTAGATTAAAGCGTGTTCCAAATTCAGGAATTTCATCTAAAAAAGAACTAAAGAAAAAAGAACGTGGTTTCATTGTAGAAAAAGTTGCCCTTTTTGAAGACGTAAACATCAGTCTAATAACTTGGTTCGATAATAAGCCAGTAAATATGTAATCAACTTCTAGTGAACCTAGAACCACAAAAAGTAGATACTTCCGAAAAGAAAAAACGTACAAAGAGATTCCATGCCCTCAAGCTGTTGAAGTTTATAATCAGCTGATGGGAGGGGTGGACTTGTTAGACTAGATGTTGGGACTTTATCATTTGGGGGAATCCATTTAAGATCAGGAAAATAGTATAAACGAATTTTTTTTTCATATGTTGTATCTATGTGTTGTGAACGCATGGATATGCTGGCGTAGAAAAAATGAAAAAAATTGCTATATTATTGCTATATTATTTGACTTCAAACAAGCCGTTTTTGAATATTTATGTAAATCTGGGAAGCCACTACTAAGAAAGAGAGGTCGTCCAGTAGGATAAAATTGGACTCCAACGTCTAGTCATCAAGGAACTCCACCTGTGTTAACCAATGGAACAAATCCAACATTAACAAAAAGAACAAGAAAACTGCAAGACATCAAGAGATACCGTTAAATTCTGTACGTACGGACAACATTGGACATGCCAGAATGAGAAAAATATCGTCAAAACGTCAAAAAAGAATGGCAAAATGTCAAATATGTACAAAAAAAAACTTACACCAAATATATAAAGTGTAAAGTCTTTTTATGTTATAATGAAAAAAGGCATTGTCTATAACAATTTCATAACTCATAT